TCCAACACGAGGTTGTCCTGGTTCAGTCCAACACGAGGCTGTCCTGGTTCAGTCCAACACAAGGCTGTCCTGGTTCAGTTTGACTTTTTATTAAAAATTATCAGAAACAATGTGAGACATCATGAATCCAAGAACAAACATTTGCTTTAAGTAAAATCACTGACTGACAGTGGAGCTTCTGTGGGCGGGGCCAGAGGCTGATGATTCATGAGGTCCAGATCCAGACCAGGTTCAGTCCAGATTCAGACCAGATCCATTCCAGGTCAAGTTCAGATCCAGACCAAATTCAGAGAAGATCCTGTCCAGATCCAGACCAGATGCAGTCCAGATTCAGACCAGATTCAGACCATATCCAGTTCAGATTTAGACCAGATCTACTCCAGATTCAGACCTGATCCAGACCAGATCCAGTGCAGATTCAGACCAGATCCAGTCCAGATCCACTCCAGATCCAGTTCAAATTCAGTCCAGATTCAGTCAAGATCCAGTCCATAGTCAGACTAGATCAACTTCAGATCCAGTCCAGATTCAGACCAGATTCAGTCCAGATCCATTGCAGATTCAGACCAGATCTAGTCCAGATTCAGACCAGATTCAATTCAGATCCAGTGCAGATTCAGACCAGATCCAGTCCAGATTCAGACCAGATTCAGACCAGATCCAGTCCAGATTCAGACCAGATCCAGTCCAGATTCTGTCCAGATTCAGTCCAGATCCAGACCAGATTCAGTCCGGATTCAGTCCAGATCCAGTCCAGATTCAGACCAGATTCAGTCCAAATCCAGTCCAGATTCAGATCAGATCCAGACCATATTCAGTCCAGATTCCATCCAGATTCAGTCCAGATCCAGTGCAGATCTAGACCAGATTCAGACCAGATCAAGTCCAGATCCAGAACAGATCCAGATCAGATCCACTCTAGATTCAGACCAGATCCATTGCAGATACAGACCAGATCAAGTCCAGATCAAGTCCAGATCCAGTCCAGATCAAGACCAGATTCAGACCAGATCCAGTCCGGATCATGTCCATATTCAGACCAGATCAAGTCCAGATCCATACCAGATCCAGTCCAGATTCAGACCAGATTCAGTCCAGGATCAGTCCAGATCCAGTCCAGATTCAGACCAGATTAAGTCCAGATTCAGACCAGACCCAGTCCAGATTCTGACCTGTTTCAGTCCATGATCTGACCAGATCCAGTCCAGGGTCAGACCAGATCCATTTCACATACAGTCCAGATACAGACCAGATCCAGTCCAGATGCAGAAAAGATCCAGTCCACATCCAGGTCCAGCTGCCCACCTGAGGATTGAGAACTGTTTGTTTCTCAAACCTCTGCTAAACCCCACCTACTGAACTTCAGCCCTCCTTCCGTCAGAGGAGGTGGAGTATTTTCAGAGGAGAACCCACCTCCTCCTCTGACAGAATGGTATGAGGTTTGCATGTTGTCCTTGTGGACTCTGATGGTCTCTTCTGGTCGTTCAGGTCTGAAGTCTCTGGGGATGACCATCGCTCAGTGCTACGAGGAGGTGGGGCTCCTGCTTCTCTTCCTTGGAGTGGGGATCTCCATCTTTGCCACCACGGTCTTTGCTCTGGAACACGATCTTCCTGCCACCACCTTCACCAGTGTGCCGGCAGCCTGGTGGTGGGCCACCACCTCCATGACCACGGTGGGCTACGGGGACGTCCGCCCCGACACGGCGGTGGGGAAGGTTCTGGCCTTCCTTTGCATCCTGTCAGGGATCTTGATCTTGGCGCTGCCAATCGCCATCATCAACGACCGCTTCGCCGCCTGCTACTTCACCCTGAAGGTCAAGGAAGCGGCGCTGCGGCATGGCGAGATGCTGAGGAGGCTGGCCCGTGGCTCGGTGGGGGAGGCGGGGCTTGGAGGAGCACTGGGCGGGGTGAATCTGAGGGACGCCTATGCTCGCAGCATCCTAGAGATGCTGCGGCTGCAGAACCGAGAGCGTGCGAGCACACGGAGCAGTGGGGGGGACGAGCTGTGGTGGTAGACCTCAGATCGGATTGTGGGGGGGTGGGGAACGAGCTGTGGTGGTAGACCTCAGATCGGATTGTGGGGGGGTGGGGAACGAGCTGTGGTGGTAGACCTCAGATCGGATTGT